GCTTCTTAAATCATATGATGTGCATTTTAACATGCATTGCAAGCAGTGGTGTCGCCGAGAGGATAAATTGGGCCGGGCCGGTATAGTTTTTCTTCGGACTATTTTACACAACAAAATTTACACGGAAATTCAATATTTTACTAAATTTAGAGTGGGCCAGGGCCTAGCATAATCTCCCCTAGCTGCACCCCTCCATGCAAGATAGTGCATAATAGAAGCAGACGAATTTTGATTACTATGCTTTGATATCTTATATATTACAACTGGCTCTGCTGCTACCCTGCCTACCCGCCAGAATAAACATCAACACACATAAATGTGATGTGCAAACCTTAGTTCGGGGAATCAAAACATTCTTTGGAACAGGCAATTGAGCTGACACAGCATACTGTTGGGCTGCTTGAAGCTTTTCCTGAGTAAAGCGTGTCCCTTCCGGAAAAAGTGCCAACCAAAAGGCACTTGGAAAGTTATTTAGCTCTTGAAAACCTGCCTGCAACATACATGAATTAAATAAATAAATGAATGAATGAATGAATACATAAATAAATAAATGCATAGCAGTTTAATAAGTATACAAATCATGCACATGAAAGGTAATGTGTGATGGATACATAAGGTAACCTTTAATGTGTTCTCATCCTTATCCCAACGTCTTTCAAGGATAATATAACCCGAAAACCACATTGACCATCCTAAAACCTGCATAAATTATAAGAAATGCTTTTAGTCCCATTGAGGTTCATTTATAGAAAAAACCAACCCTATGATGTGCTTACTATAAATGTTAGAGTCCCACATTGAATTCAATCTTATGTTACCCAGTTGAGCGACCTCAACAAGATCCTGAATTTTAGCTTACAAGTAGGACTAGATATTTGATTTAGCAAAGAAACTTACTGGTATATATGATAGAGATTTCTTTATGATAGCTAGAGCATTCCCAAGGCAACCTGCTCGCTGCCAATTGTTTCAATGATCAATTATTAAATAGTTATAATAAGAGCACAACCCAAATGATAATGATATATTAAAAAGTCATAAGATGTAATCAACTAATGAAATGCATTTCCAAATAAAAAATAGCACTAATTTATTCAATGCAGAAATAAACTAGGAAATTCTGCTGAAAAATGATAATTAGTGCTAAGCTAATAGAAATTACAAGATCGTAATGCGGTTTAAATCAAAATGAATGAATACCTGAGCTAGGACCCATCCGACAAGCCAGTCAATGTCACTTCTGTGGTTAGAAATAAAAAGTGCATGTTCTTTACCTGAAGTTGGATTAAGTATAAGCAAAAAAGTCATCAATAGAAAAAATAATTATGACATTAGTTTTAAACAATAGAACTAAAGTAGCTTAGTTAGAATCTCACCCATTAATTCATATGTTTCTTGGTCTACATATAGCTCTACCTAAGAGGATGTAAACAGTAGTTAGCCACTTATTTAGTTATAAACAAACATAAGTAAGTAAAGAAAAATCCATGATAAGAAATTGCCTCCAGGGCCCAGGCACCTTTATATTTGCCCACCACTCGAAAAGCCAAACAGGCTGCAACCACAATAGTTCTACTGCTTCTTTGTTTATCCTTCTATACACGTTCTTTGAAATTGGACGAACTAGGACAAATATGATTGCCTGAAAGTGCAAACATTTAGAAATGCATTTCATAGAACCATTATATAAAATTCATTGGCCATTTTAGTAGTCTTCTATGGATATATGCTTGGCAATGTCTTTCTTCTCCAATGCTATGCTCCCTTTGTCCCATAAAATAAAAACAAGTCCTATTTGGTCATGGAAAGCCATAGGACCCAAGTAACATTTTAAATTATATTTTATTATTTTATAACTTGGTTTGTCATATTTTACTTGTTTTAACGATTTTATACAAATTAGCTAAAAAAACGTTTTTCGTCAGATGAATGGTGACTCTTTTCTATATCAGTATATACAAGAAGCTTTTGAAAGATGATTTCTTTTTGTGATGGAGTGAGTAGATAAAATTAGGGTGAAGTCATCAAATTCATAGGTAGAAACTAGGGGTTTGTCGGATTGGTTTGTCCACTTTGGTTTTTTAAAATGCAAAACCGAAAACCCACCGAATAACTTAAGTCAGCTTTGGATGGATTTGGTTAGTTATTCCTTGTCAGTTTTGGCGGGTCTTAGTAGGTTTTTAAAGCTGAAAACTTTATACAGAACCACCTACGGAAAGATAGACTTCGGTTTAGGTCAGTTCAGTTTTTCTGTTTTTTGTCCAACCCTAGCTGAGACAATGGTCCTTAACAGGTGCAGCAGCATTCTTTTCCCTTAACAATATCTTGAATGTCTTGTAAACAATGAGCAATTACAGAACCTCAACAATTTCAAAATTATTATTTTGAAAAGACATTGTTATTCATCGGAGAGATCTGGCATAAACGTAATCAATCTTAAAATTAAATCTCATCAATGAGCATGTACCCATATCGTAGGAGTGTTTGCCAAATCAGTTTTTTCTCTTGAAAATTTTCATTTTGTTCAATAAGCCAAGACAAAACATTGAGCATTCAAGAAATTAGGGGAAAGCGCAAAATGGGCATTGATAACCGCATGAAAATGGTACCTGAATGAAGTTAACAACGAGGCCTGAGAAGATGAAAAGAACACCCAGAGGAAGAATGAGCGCGGCGGCGATTGCCATGGCAGGGAAAAAAAGACCAACATGAAAGGGTAAGGGTTAATATTCCCCAAGAGATAGACGAAGAGTATGTAAGGAGACCCTTTGTGAACGAAAAAGAGAGGCAAACTTTGGTCATTCGAATGGTAAAACTCAACTGCAGATACAAAGAGAGCGCCTAAACCACACCTTGCGCCATGGCGTTTTCGGTTTTTCAACGGCCGGGCTTTCATCTTTCTTTCCAAACAATAATACTCCCTCACTTCTTTAATAAAAGTCCTTCTTTCCTTTTTGGGACGTTTTTTTTTATTTGTCCTCCTTTCCATTTAAGGAAAGTTTTTACTTTAAATATACCTTTATACCCCCACTTTTATTACCATTACCCCTTTCTCTTTCCTACTTTTTCATTTACCCACTACTCATTACACCTTTTACACTACCCCTACTATTTTCCTCTTAAAACCCGTGCCAAAGCCTAAGAGGACAGATAATAAAGAACGGAGGGAGTAATATTTACTAAAAATAAAATAATAAAGGATTATTAGTCCTGAAAAAATATCTCATATTCCTACAAAAGTACACACCAGCAAATATCCCTTATCGACTTTAAATAAGTAAATAAATAAAAGTGCTGCTCAGATTCAAGTACTTACAGAGATCTCATTTTTACATAATAATTTCTCATTGTTATATTTTAAATTTGACATTTATCTTTTGTGGCACCCCCACTACTAGTTCAGCTGCGCCATCAGCAGTACATGACACCTAAATGTTAGCGAGAGTAGTGAGGAAGAGAAATCACGAGAAATAGTCATGAGATGCACTCGTGAAGGTCGTCTGACATATGAGCTCTAAAGTTTTATAATATGTCTCTATTCATTATGATGGATTTTTTTTGGAAAAATTGACAAGAATAATCTTACCTTTCACTGGTTTTCTCATTATAATCCTACTTTTAAATAATTCCAGAATAATCCCACCTTTGCATCCCATCTTCTTTCATTAGACCCTTTTTATGAAAATCTTATATAATAATCTCACATCTATAGGTTATCAATAGGTCAGGGTCCAATGAAAGACGATGAGGTGCAAATGTGAGATTATTATGAGAAGACCAGTGAAAAGTGAGATTATTCTTGTCAATTTTTCCATTTTTTTATACTTTTAAAACATACTTTCTCCGTCCCTTAAAATTTGGCCAAGTTTGTCCAATACGAGGAATAATAAAGTAAAAACTCTACGATGAGATTAAATATAGAGGAGAGAGAGAGAGTTAACATGAACCACAAACTTTTTAATAAAAAAGAAAAGTGACAAAGTGAGTGGGACAATCACAAACGATGATTGACAAAATTATAAGGGACGAAAGCTATGTTTTAAACAATTTATATTAAATTTTATAGTAATGTGATGTTAAATGTGATTAATATTGATGGAAATTAAGAGTGAGAATAATCAAAACTTGAGGGGTAACTAGTCAATTTCTTAAAATGCACAATTGGAGTAGTGATTATGACCTAAGTCCTAACTCAGGCTTTATTTGGTTTAATTTGAGAGAATTGTTAGAAAATAATTACTATTGGGCTTTATATCCAATTTTCAAATAATAATAATATTTTTTGAGCCCCATCTTATTAGGAAATCATTTAACTTTACACCTTATCCCTTCACAAAAGGGATAAGAGTCAGTTTGGTCCTCGAAGTTGCAAAAAAAGGGTCAAATAAGTCTTTATATAGAAGATTCTGTCCGGACGTGCCATTTGAGGTGGCTCCCGGTGGAATTTTTTGATTAAATTTTTTGAGCATCTTATTCATTAAGTCTAGTTTACTCATACCAAATTTCAGATAAAAATTCAATCGGGAAGACATTCAAATGAATTCTTGAAGATAATTGTGTCGTTAAAAGCGCAGTTATCTTCAAGAATTCATTTGAATGTATCCCCGATTGAATTTTTAGCTGAAATTTAGTATGAGTAAACTAGACTTAATGAATAAGATTCTCAATAAATAAGGGCTTATTTGACCTTTTTTGGTTAGTACATGGGCCTATTTGCACCTTTTCCCAAAAATCAAACCTATTGATAGAGAAATTACGCTTCGCTTTTCAAAATATAAACTTTAATGAGGCATATTGTAGCTATATAAAATAGGGAAAAGATCCCATGAGAAGTGATATTTAAAATGAAAAGTGAGAAGTAATGTAGACCATCCGATCAAACATAACACAAGCGGTTCATTAATGGTGTTTTTGTAATTATTCCAACTTTTATAACCTCTTAATAAAAGCTAGAGTGCCGACTACTGATTACGGAATATTAAAAAAAAAACCTTCCCTAATTTATTAACCGCATTATTCTTTCCGTTACATTCCTCTGTAGTGTTCTCTCCATCTGAATCGGATTTTCTCTCTCTTCCACTTTCTATATCAATTCACACCTACGTCAATGTGCTACAACAATAGTGATGGATTATCATCTTTGAAGCCACAGCGACGCATCCGACTAGAAATTTGTTTTCAATACTTAGCTTTTTTGTTGTAAAATGTTTAACAAGTTTTTCAAGATTCTTTATCTACTGATTTATACCATTTATTTAAAATTGGCTTTGTATTACTGGATTTGTTTTAAAGTATGTATATAATTAATATTCTTTTGGAACTACGGAATATCTCTTATCTTGCTTCAAGTAACTGTTCGAGTTTGACTTTGCTCCTATCATTGTATTTAAAGTGCGATGAACTTCTGGTGGCATTTATGGTGTTTGTTAATATGCCTACAAGAGACACCATGAAACTAAATGTTTATTAGAAAAATCACATTGGAAGATTAACAAAAATGTTTGATTTAGAATTTGATTGTGAGAGTTTTAAACCATACCCTTCAGTTGTTGATTTGAAGAAGAGCCCAAGACTTCCCTGCAATTGCATACATTTTCTTGCTATTTATGAAGGGGGGGTTTTGTTGTTTTTTGCAGTGTCTATTGTTGATTCTATGGTTGTAACATCTACCTCCAATTCTGTAGATTTTCTTGCATCTCTTGGCTGCAGTTTTGTTGTATCTAGTTACCACTTTATGTATGTGTTTGAGAAGAGAAAGAGAAGAGATTCATCCCATTATCCGACTGAGAATCAAATAAAATGGCGATTACATCAGCAGCTGTGAGTTCACTAAACCTCAATCAGCCCTCTCGTTTAGGAGTACAAAAAACAGCAGCTAGAGGGCTGCCTCCCCTTTCTTCCAGAAACTCTCTCATCGTTGTGCCAGCGGCGGCAAGAAGCTCAAGGTTGACCAGCCCTTCGGAATTGGTGGAGACATGAAACTGAGGAATGGGGTAGATGCATCGGGCAGGAAGCCTACTGGGAAGGGTGTTTACCAATTTGTCGACAAGTATGGTGCTAATGTGGATGGATATAGTCCAATTTACAAAGAAGAAGATTGGTCCCCCCACTGGTGATGTCTATGTTGGAGGTAAAACCGGCTTAGCAATCTGGGTTGTTACCTTTGTTGGCATCCAGGCAGGAGGTGCTCTCCTTGTGTACAACACCAGTGCTCTCTCACAATAAATCTTTCATTGTAAATTATCCACTATCTGTTTTACCTCATGCTTGCTGCAGCATCTGAGCTAAATCTTCAATCATGTAACTGTTCTGAACATACTTCAATAAGTGCTAGCCAGATTCAGAAATGTATCAATATTCAGTTCATCCCATTTTCTATATTTTGATTTATAAAAAAAGTTATCACTTTATGTTCTTTACCATTCCAATCAGCACATTAATTTCATCACGTTGCTATGAAACATGAAAGAACACACTTTGACATCTAAGTTATGTTACACCATTTCAGTTTCAAAAAATGTATTCAAGTGTATGTGTAAATCACAACAACACGCTTCAACCAATGCATTACATTGATAAGATGAGTTTGACAAAAAAAGATAATCTCATTTCATCTAAATTAGATTTCAAAATATGAGATTAAACTGGAATCTGATTCATTTTATAACAATACAAAGCTAAAACTCAACCAATGAAGTTTGTTGCCTTCCCCCCCCCCCCCCCCTTTTTTTATCTTTATTTGTTAAAAAAGTTGTGTGAACTATGATTTTGAACAAAGGAACAATATAATATGAAACATAATACTTGAAAGATGTATTGTCTGATTTAGCGATGCTTTAAATAATAAAGTGATCCCATTTTTTAAACTATGTTTGCACTCATTTGGTGATTTAGCTTGAAGCTAAATCACAAGAACACAAAGATGTAGCACTCAACAAAGATTTATACGAATGAAAGACAAATAATCTTTTCAAAGCAAATGGAGGTGGGAAAAGGAATGAAGGAATCACATTAGATAAACATGCATACGATCCAACATTCAACAAAGATGTATTACAATTTGACAGTAATTGTGAGATAGAAAATAGTATTACAATAATTCCAAGAACACAACATCAAAAGAACTACATCAAAATTGTCTTCATTTAAGCACCAATTTAAGCTTCATCGAATCTTTGGAAGTCATTCACGTCTACAAATCTGAACAAAAGAAAAGAAACACACCTTGTTAACACACACTAATAGAGCTAGAATAAGAACTTATAAAGCAAGAGTCATAACTTGTAGTCTAAAAACATTAAATCATGTATGCTCACCTCAAAATCCATAATGCCTTAATTGCTCTAGCCTCATTGTCAATTTTCTTTTAAATCTTCTACATTGAGTATAAAAACAAATTAAAAACAGTTTTATCACTAACAATAATAGAATCCTAACTTTTATAACTAAATTCAAAACTTATAGATTACATTGTGTGAAAGCATCAAAAGAGTAAAACAAATTACTGAAAGACAAAAGTAAAGACTCCCAACAACTATCACTGCTATTAAGACTAAACAAATTTATTCCATATGTATAAAATAAGTCAAATGATTTTTCTAAGTACTAATGAGATGCTACTTTTTTCATGACTTTTATTTGATAAAGCTGAACTTCTAAATATAAATCAAGAAATATAATTTAGTTTAGTGCAGTAAGAACATTTATTTAAAGACAAGAATAGAGGTTTCCAACGACTAAAGAGCCAGAATATATGTTTTGTTAAGACACACTAAAAGAGTCAGAATAATAACTAATATAAATAAAGTCATCACTTGTAGTCTCACAACATTAACTCAGATTCAAGACTTCAAATCTAAGAAGGGGGGAGTTAAGTGCAATACCATACACATCAACATAAGCATGTTGATCACTTAATGTCTCACGTCCACATCATCACCAGAAGTAAACTTTTTTGGTTTTACAACTGCACTAATAGAGAATGATCCATAACTTCTTATAAGAAATTCACAACCCTTAGTCCAATAACTTCAAAATCAATCTACCATGTATTATGTTTGCTCAATGGTAATTAAATGATATAATTTCACTTCATTAAACTAAAATGTTTCTCAACAGTCGCTAAGTAACCATGATGCTTCTTTTTTCCTCACTTCTAAGTTCTAAATAATAAGGCTTACCTTCTAAATCTAAATCTATGACTATTATTCTGAAATTCATTACGACTAAGAAATGATCAATTGAATGCTTTCATGTTAAAATTCATATGATTGAGACTCGAGTTGTATAAATACACATCAAACTTTTAGTTTAGTTATAAGTTTAACAAGTTATTAAACGTTAATTACATACAAAAACGCATGATTATGTAAACGTTAGTTACATACAAAAAACGGGGGCTAGTACCTGAAGATATATCAAGGATTGCTTTGTAATATCTTATCAAGTACATTGACCTTCCAATTACCGAAGCTTCAAAAAGCTTGAAAATTGGGCTTACATTACTCGAGAAGAAATGAAGAGAAATCGGTATCCCTGGTTGGCCTCACAAAAAGATCAAATCCTTGTTTAGACTCATTAGTAATCTCCATGTTTCTCCATCTTTTACTCCCCGTTATATAAAGTTACTGGTTCATCTAAGTAGTTTTTTATTCTACTTTCCTAAAGCCACTTTTGACACATAGTAGTCATGAACACTAACCCTAATATTGAATAAATTTAAAAACATTAAAATGCCTGAAACTAACAAATTGAAGATCAATCAACCTGAATTCAGAAGAATATCGTAGGAACCAAGTAGATTTTATCTTTGAAATTATGTAACAAGAACCCGTAAAGCATAAACCGGATACTCGCCTTTGAATTTCATAAAATCATCGTTGAACTCTCCATCGATCCAAGAGGGAGCAGAAACAAAACCGAATTCAGAGATCCTCTTGAATCAATGAAGAAAAACGAAGAAGTTTCTAGCAATTGGTGATAAGTCCATTTTTGTACTTATTTTTCTTATCAAAATTAAGCTATTTTTGATTGAAAATAGAAAGAAAAGACATGTTTTAGATATTGTGGTTCAGGTTTCATGAAATCAGGTAAAAATCACATTCATAACATGTTTTGCGAAATTTCGGGTCAATTGCGTGAAGAAAGTGGCACTTTTTGCCAACAAATGAATTCCTACGGAAGTTTGCAAGATATATTGACCAATTGTTCAATGAAAAGAGTCCAAGTGATGAAGAAATCATCCAAGGAAGTTCAAAACCAAGAAGGAGTCACATATATGGCTACTTTTGATGAAAATGGACGATGCATAGAGACACATGTTCATATTGTGATCATAACTTTGCGCATAATTGTCCAACGTTCGTGATACGAGTTTCATTACATTGATATCTTCCTGATCTACAACTCTTATGAAGAACACAGAGCCAAATAACCACCGTAGAATGGACATATTGCTCAAAGAAGTCAGACATTTGCAGTTGCGATGGAAAGTGACACGTGGTCACCGTTTTGACTATATCTCATAAACTACAAATCCAATGAATGTGATTCAAATTCCAGTAGTTAGCCAAGAAAGAGAGCTACAACTTTGGTGAAGACAACTTTTCCATTTGACGTAAGGCGGTCGATCAGGCGGCCGCCTTTTTGGGCGCCTACGAGTTTTTCACAGTTTCAGCACACAACCCTTTGCATGGCGACAAAATAATGGAAGGCTGCCGACGGGGGACGGAGGGCGGCCGCCCTCTGTGACCGCCTGCGGCGGGATGTGATTTGTGAGCTGCCGGTAGCTGAGACAAGACGGGAGGCGGCCAAAAGGGCGGCCGCCTACCGTGGACGCCTGCGGCAGATTCAACCCGTGCACGAAGCTTTGTCGGAGAAGTGACCGAAGGCTGCCGGCCATGGCCGGAGGGCGGCCGCCCTTCTGGCCGCCTTCCACAAAACTCCAGCTATAAAAGCCCTCTTCCATCCCCAACTCAAAACACACCATTCTAAACCCTAAATCAGCTCTCATTAGCCTCCTTCTTCTTTTATTTTCGAGCTCCAAGAGCAAGTAGAGAGAGAAAGCTTCAAATCTTCATATCTTCTTCATTTTAGCTCCAAATTGTAAGTTCTTTATATGTATTTTCATCTTCTCAACGTGTAGAATCTGAATGTGTGCTTTGTTTCTTCGATCTGTTCTTCGAAAATTTCGAGATTATTTTTCAAGTATTTCGCAATTCCTTCCAAAAATTAAATAAAATAGTTATTGATGTTGAATTCATCCCAATTAATTATATAGTTGTTCACTAGCCTCAAGGTAGTTATTTATCTGAAGAAATTTATTTTTCACGAAGTAGAAGTAATTTTTAATTAATTTCGGTAATTACTTGATATTATTGCTTAAATTAAAATAAATACTCAAAAAAGGAAAAAAAAAATTAGTTCAGCCTTAATTTCAGTTTAATTCATTGTTATATCACTACCAGTAGTTAAAATAAAAGTTAGTACGAATTTAGAGTATTTTTAGTTGCTCTTTGCATTTTCTAGTTAAAATTGGGAAAATCATCAATTAGTTGCTAAAATTGGATCTTAAATTTATTAATTCGTGAAAAATTCCAGAAAATTATAATTTAGTTCCCATAAGTTTATTGTTCCAGAATATAAGCATTGTTTAAATTTTTGCTATCATCCATGTGTAATTCCTTGTTAATGTTGAATATATTCATTATATTGTTAATTGTAAAAATGATGTTTAGTAGCTAAATTTGTTTTGGGCATGAATTGAGAAAAGGAATATGGATTGACTTGTTGACCTAAAATTAGGGGTTAAAATTAATAAATTGGACTAGTTGTTTAAAATGATGAAATAGTAATTAATAATAGTTAGCCATTTTCATTAATTAAATTCTTGGAAAATTAATTCTAACTTGTCTATGAGATTAGAAATTAATTTAAGCCAACCATATTTGAGCACATTAATAATGCCTAGAAATAGGATAATTTAATGAAAATGATTTACATCTTGTCTATGAGAAATAAATTCAATTGCTAAAATAAAGAGTTTAACTAGTTAATGAATTTGGCTATTTTTATTAATTAAAATATTGGAAAATTATTTCTACCTTGTCTATGGGTTTAGAAATTAATTTAAGCCAACCATTTTAAGCACATTAATGACACCTAGAAATAGGATAAATTAATGAAGATAGTTTCTATTCTTGTCTATAAGGAAAGAAATTATTAGTCCAATTTTAGTTTTAATTTCCCTAATTAAGAGGTACAAGAACATATCCATTTCTAATTACTCAATTCATTGCCCTTATTTGCATCAATCTTTAGAACACTTAATTTTTAAAACATTAATCTTTAAATTGAACCTAGCTCTTAGTTATAAACTGGCATCATTTAGAACACAACCCCTTTCCTATATTGAA